TTTATGGAGTAAATACTCTTTTGAGTCCTTAACAAAAAACATGGTTCCCACTTTAGTCCCTTACAAAAAAATTAGTCTCTGAGGTCCCTAAGAAATTCAAAGTGGACCCATTTAGTTGAGATCGTGGTCCCTCATAAATTTTAAAAGACCCACATTAGTCTCTCAAAAAGACTAAAGTGGATCCACTCTGAATTTCACAAGGACCAGGCTACTAATTTTCTTATAAGGAATTAAAGTGGGGACTATATTTTTTGTTATGGACCCAAAATGATATTTACTATTTTGAGTAAATACCTTTTTTAGTCCCTGACAATATCCACAAAGCCCTTTTCAGTCCCTAGCAATAAAGAAGGAATAAATTGGTCCCTGAAATAACAAAAAATAGGCCACGTTCATCCTTCCGTTAACTCTCACCTAACGGCCCAACTAACGGTGCACAGTTGGCACGTTAGTTTGCTGACGCGGCTTGGATCTGGGATACCGTGGAAGACGAGACGACGATGTTTTGGTCTCTGTCAAAACAACGAGGGCTATTTTGGTCCCTATCAAAATGCACGAGGACGTTTTTAGTCCATGATAAAAAGCACGTGACTTTTATTGGTCCCTAACCAGAGAAAAATAGGCACATGACTTCATTGCTTTTCTATACAGACCAATTTTGTAAAACAGAAGTGCATTACATCAGAAACAGGAGTGCAATCCATTTGTTCACCACAAAGTAATTAAACTAAATTTCATCACAAAGTAAAATACTTCTTCTTGGCATTTTATTTCAATGAAGTTTGTGTTTCTAACTGAAGTTTCGACCTTATTAACGATTATTCATTTCTTTTTCAATGCTAATTAAGCTTCCCACTTTGTTAAAAAAGATTATTGGCTCTTGCAAACAGCTTTTACGTTCCCTAGAATACTATGAACTGCTTTAATTCTCTTAGTCTGTATAAGACATAGCGTTATGCGATTTACGAATAATATCTTCAGTAGTGTAGCATTACAATCATACTATTTATTTTTCTATAAAAGATAATTGCATGATTGTTGATATTTAAATACAGAGAAAAATTAGAGAAGAAGCCAGGTAAATGATTGTTGATAATTGCAATGCATGACAGTTGACTGGACTGCAGCAGTTGGTAGTTCTCAGCCACATGAAGGCAACTTGAGAGGAAGCAGCCCACCTCCATCAAATCCACCACAGGAAAATGAGCTGTTGAGTAATGACACAATGAATGCAGCAACCAGTGGTACACGGAGCACATTATTGGCCTTCATGAGCACACATGGTTATAGGCCACCAAGGCCTGCCTCAAGAAAATGACCTGCTACTGTATATGACCTGGGAGTAGTGCATGCGCCAACTGAGAAAGGTTTATTATTATGTGACTGACTTTTTCAGAAAATTCTGGCCATTATGTATTTGGAGGCCTTATTATGTCAATATTTTTTTTGTAAATTCTGGCCATATTGTATTAGAAGCCTTTCTTTTAATTCCTGGCAGTTGACTTTATTTTGTAATGCACTACTGTACATCCATGTCTTCAAATATAATGATACTCAAATCATGTTCCAGCTATTATGTTTCACAGGGTTGATGAATGTTTAAGTTTACCATTTTTGATGTTTTTTAACTAATATACGTAGTTGTAGTTCTTGTACATCCAAGTCTTCTGGTTTAACAAATTGGACTGCGTACAAATCATATTTAATGTCATGTTCCTGTTTTGCAAAATTGGATTGCACTCTTGTTTCTGATGTAATGCACTTCTGTTTTGCAAAATTGGACTGCATAGAAAAGCAATGAAGTCATGTGCCTATTTTTCTCTGGTTAGAAACCAATAAGGGCCCCGTGCTTTTTGTCAGGGACTAAAAACGTCCTCGTGCATTTTGACAGGGACCAAAATGTCATCGTCTCGTCTTCCACGGTATCCCACATCCAAGTCGCGTCAGTAAACTAACGTGCCAACTGTGCACCTTTAGTTGGGCCGTTAGGTGGGAGTTAACGGAAGGATGAACGTGATCTCTTTTTTGTTATTTTAGGGACCAATTTGTTCCTTTTTTATTGCTAGGGACTGAAAAGGGTTTCGTGGATATTGCCAGGGACTGAAAATGGTATTTACTCTACTATTTTTTATGTTAATGTGGCAGAAAAAAATTTCTGCTGTAAAACCAGAAATGTTAAATCCTTTATGTAAGTGAAAAGTATAAACTATTCATGTAACATTATCTGATAACTTAAATTTTTGGGTTAAAATAATTCTCTACATGTTATCCTCGTCTAGTAACTTAAGTTTTTGCATTGAATGAATTGTATGCTATGATGCATCGACACCGACACGGGACACGATACGACACGCCGACACGTTAATTCTAAAAAATGTCATATTAGACATGTTAGTATTTTTAATATATATGATATAATTTATATTTAATACATAAAACAGTCCATAATAAGTCATATAACCAATCAAATATTCAAATTTTATAACATAAATATAAAGCAAAAGTAATTTTTCATACCTTCTTAATTTTTTATGTCAAATTCCATAACAGAAAAAAAAATTGACTTATAAATTAATTTTTCATTTTTAGTTAATAAAATAAAATTTAGACCTTAAAAAAAGTATTGGATGCGTGTCGGAGCATTGATTGCGTGTTGAAAACACATATCAAAGCATATCAAAACGTTGATCGCGTGTCCCAAAATATTGACCGCGTGTCGAATACATGTTGAAACATGTCAGTGTCAATGTCCGACACATGTCTAATATGTAAATTTTCAGAAGAAAGTCGAGTTCGTGCTTGCTTGCTAGAATGTATTTATCAAAAATAAAATAAAATCTAAAGGTGGTCCAATTCTTAAACGCGGTCCGTGTCTATTGGCTTACCACCATGATTGATTAGATTTCTCGGACTACTAAAGTGGGGACTAACGTACTAAAAAAAAAAAAAAAAAAAGTGGGGTCTGTGCTTCATCATCATTCAAAACATACTTATCATTTCCACCAAACGTTCAGTGACTCGCAGCCAAAAATAAATCTTTAACTAATCTGTATCGGTAAAAAATATATATATATTAATTTTTAATAAATAATTATCAATAAATTACTGTTTTGAATCTAATTATAAATACTGCAATCATTTACACTTAAATTAGACATGATCATTCATGTCTAAGTTAGGCATAAGTCACAAGGCATTCACGTCTATTTTAAGCCTAGTTGACACGTTTTACAAAAAATTAACTTACGAATTACTATTTTGATACATGACTTTTTTGTGCCACGTATCAACACAAGACGAGTCACGTCTAAATTAGACATGAATGCCTTGTGAGTCACGTCTAACTTAGGAGTGAATGATCACGCTTAATTTGAACGTAAATAAATATAATAGATCCGTAAATAGTTTTGAAATAACTATATATTTGTAATTATTTATTAAAATAATAACATTTTAATTTTTTTGCCATCCATGATAACAACAACAATAATAATAATAAGTAAATCGAAGTTTTTTAGAAGTGTAAGTGGGGCTTAATAAATTCATAAATTCACCTAACTCAACTGCGCAGTAAAAAAATAAAAAATAAAATAAAATAAAATACTTGATTTGTGTAATTAAATACAAGATTAAATCTAGAGATGGAGAATGGAAAAATAAAGCTTTAAATGGGAAGCTTTTGTTTTGAATGATGGGGAAGTGAGGTAGGGAATGTTTTTTTATCTATGTTTGATATAAGGTATCCGGATTTATTTCAATATAAAAAAATTCTCCAGTCAATCCATATTTACACCTAGCACAAGAAAAAAAAATCCTCATTAGCTTGTGGTATTTTTTTTAGCCCTTGTACTTTGATTGTGATTCAAACAAATTAAGACCATAATACCCTCATGGATATATATGCAGACGTAAATAGATACAGTAGAGAAGCATAATTTAGTCATTTTGCTTCAAAATTCTATCAATATTTTATCATCAACCAAACATAACATCAGTAAAATTAACCGAACTTTCCCGTTATAATTTCGGCATACCAAACACTTTTTCATAACTTACCTGGATAAAAATATTTACAATCATATTTCTAGAAAAAAACTTTCTCGGTAAAAAAAATATCTCTTATATCAAACGCCCTAAAAGTGTCCAAATTTTATTGGAATACCATCAAAATTGGTTAGATTTCTCTTACCGCAAAAGAAAAGAAAGGAGTATGATCCAAGAAACTCGTTTAAACCAAATGTTCATGAAAAGGAGCCAAAAATAAATCTTAACTTATTCATACTTATAATAAAAATAAAATAATAATAATCAAATGCAAATTGAAGTTTAATTAGGAATGCAAGTGGGATTTAATAAACTCATAACTCAGTTAACTCAACCCACAAAGTATAAAAAAAGGGATTGATTTGTGTAATTAAATAAAAGTTAAAAATTGACCTATAACTGGATTAGAAAAATTAATATTCTACTAGACTCGCTGCATAATTATTTTTTTAATTTGTAATATTTAAAAATATTTCTTTTATAAAATATAAAAATATATCAATTTAATGAAGCAAGTCAAATTAACTCAAAATTTGATCGAGTCAATTTAGCTCCAATTCCTTAGACAAATTTGGTAAAACCAAAACGACCCCAACTTTTTTTCTTTAATCAGAACGCACTTCATTACACCCTTATCGAAATCTGATCAATGACTCAAAAGCCTCCGATATACATTTATCATCGTGAATAGACCACATAATTAGTAATAAATTTTAGATGTATCTGTTACATTTAGATTCAATGCATTCTATTAATGAGAATATTACATGTTAGAGGAGAGAAAAAATTTGACAGAGGAGAGAGAATTTTGACTGATATGTAATATTTCTATTGGTGGGATGCACTGAATATTTGGTGCAAAAGTAGCACAAAAGATTTATTCCATAGTCAGAGACATGAAAATCGTGCCAAATTCTCCCTATTCCAGTACCATCCCATAGCCACACAGCTCCTCTCATATCATTGATATTTAACAAGAAAGCTCACCCACACCCAAACCCTCAAGCTAAGTGAGCAAATATGAAAAGAAACTAACTTCTTCAACTTCGTTCCTCGATTTATATTCTAAAACCTCACACTCTGCTCATTCAAAACATAGAAGCAGGAAATATGTTCATGCAACAAATTCATATATCAAATTCAAGTCCAATTATAAGCTGTCTCATCCTTCACAAGCCATGCCTCCATGGGAATAGTACTCATCCTTCCCTTCAGGTTTGGTCAAGGCCTTCGTTCTTCCCAAACCAAAAGAAACAAAAAGGGTTTAGGACTGGGTGCAGCAAAATCAAAGCTGTGGCTGTGAGTGAAATAGAAAAGAAATCTGTGAAAGTTAAAGTCACTATAACTGTTCAGCCAACTGTTGGTGGGTTTTTCTCAGATCTTGGTTTAGAACGAGGGCTCGATGATATAAGAGATTTACTCGGTCAATCACTTCTCTTGGAGCTTGCTAGCACCACGCTTGATCCTAGTAAGTACTTTTTTTTTTTAATTTAACCAAATATAGAACTATATCAGATTCTTTATTTACTTTTGTTGAAGTCAAAGACGTGAAAATACTTCATAAACACAAGGGCTATTTTTAATTCATTCATGACCTGATTGAATTTTGTTTTAACTACTCATAATTCAACCAGACTCTAATAAGGAGGGTGTTAAAGATTTAATATGAAGTTATTTATGTGTGTTCACTAACCAACTTAAGCTTTTTAGCAATCATTTAAAGATTAAACTGTTGCGTAATTTGGTTAAAATATGAGTTAATAACATTATTGTTTGTGATTTGTATTTTTTTCTTTTGGTTTCGTTGTTTTGCTCCAAAAAGAGACGGGATTGGAGAAGGAAACTATCAAAGGTTACGTCCATAAGAAGCAACAATCATCAGAAGAGGTAAAGTATGAAGCTGAAATTGAAGTGCCAGATAGTTTTGGTGAGATTGGTGCCATTCTTGTGGAGAACGAGCATCACAAGGAGATGTTCATCAGGAATGTTGTACTTGAAGGTTTCCTCACTGGTCCCGTCACATTTTCCTGCAACTCCTGGGTTCATTCCAAGTTTGATAACCCTGTTAAGAGGGTGTTTTTCAGCAACAAGGTTTCATCTTCACCCCCACTCCTTAGTTTATATTCATATATTACAGATTTATCTGTTTGATACAATTTTTTTATATTAATAATTATTTTTAAGTTAAAGTTAATTTTTTTTTTAAAAAAGTTAAAAATTATTTGATGAGTATATAAAGTTATTTGAGAGTTTTGAAACGTAAAGAATCTAATTCAATCTAAAAATTTAAATCGTTGGATAAGACTATATTATTAATTTTTATATTTCTCTTACAGGTCCTTCATAGTATAGCCCACTTGCCTTAAAAGGTGGCTAATGCACAGACCTATCTATTTGTGCTAAGAAACTTCACAAGACTGAATTAATTATTAATTAAATGAGTGTAAGGATTGAATTTGCGATACCGAAATTTTAATATCATATAAAAAACTGATTCAATTCAAAAGTTTAAAATGTTTATAAGGATAAAAGGTAAAATTTAGAAATAAAAGTTTATAATAAGAGTAAAATAAAAAAATAAAATAAAAATCTTTTTTTAGTTATTGGAAAAAACTCTTCTTATAGAACTTTTATAAAAATATATTTAATTAAACTTGTGACAAAGAGAAAATAAAAATAAGATCTCCCGAATACAAACCAAATTATAAATATAGAGACAAAGGTTATGATCCAGAGTTCAAGCTTTATTAAGCTTAAAGAACTCAATAAATTCACCACAGATTATCTTATATATGAAAGTCGATAATTTAATTTGTAACAATAACCTTATCTTAATAAAAGTAAAAATATTTGTAACTTTAAAGTATACAATTTTTTGTTTTGTTATATATTTATGGAAAATAATTTTCTCATTTATATGAGAAAATTTCTTCTTCTTACACACAATTAATAGGTTGATTCCACCTTAATTTTCGTGTGAATTCTACTCATTTATTATGTGTGAAGGAAAATTTTTTTCATATAAAATAAAAAAACTGATCCCCTATATTTATTGGTCTTTTTACATTCTCTTTATTTTATAAAGTTAAAATAAAAGAGAAAGATAGTATTATGAAAGAAAAATAATATAAAAATAAATAAATATAAAGCAAAACATCATCATTTTACTTAAAATAATATAAAGCTATGTACTTTAAAAGGGAAAAAAATATTTTTTTTACCGTAGAAATTTTTTTCCACTACACATTCTCTTTATAACGAGGTTTATTTATTTTTATGTGAGTTTGACAACTAAATTTTATTCTGTAGCAAAAATAAAAATATTAAACTTACTTCAAAATAATAAATATTTTTCCTTAAATTAATTAATGTTCATATTTTTATTTTTATTTTTATTTTGGTTACGAAGATGAAATGATGAAAAGAGGTCAGAAAATTAAAACAAAGGGATTGTATTTTATCCTTTAATATGACATAATAAAATTTTTTACACATATAATATTTTGTGGGGTCTGCATTTTTTAAAGTTAAAATAAAATAAAATTAAGACACACAAATCAAATAACTATAACATTACAAAATCACTTTTTCTACAACATAATTATTATAAAACACTAAAACAAAATATTGATAAACTGTATGTTTAATCAAAAGACACCAGCGTATGCATTAAGCTACAGCTGTAAAGTGACAAGAACAACCATAACGTTGATTTGATTGATTAGTTTTAAGGGGATGCATTCTAGTGCATTCCGTTCGAGATAGGAGTAATGATTAGATACTTAAATATTTAAAGGTTTTGAACTTATTATATTCAGAATTTGATAATGATTATAATAAACTGTTTGTTTTTTTATTATTATTATATACGGAACAGTCTTGTTTGCCATCTTCAACATCAGAAGGATTGAAGAGGTTAAGAGAAGAAGAACTGGAACTTCTACGTGGCAACGGACAAGGCGAACGCAAGAGCTTTGAGAGAATATATGATTACGATGTGTATAATGATCTCGGTGAGCCTGACAATGACGTCGATCTTAAGAGACCCGTTATTGGTGGCGACCAACATCCATATCCTAGGCGTTGCAGAACTGGAAGACCTCGTTGCAAAACAGGTATATATATACATGTCTCACATCAATTAATTTAATAATGTCTAAATCATCAAATTTTTAATTTAAAATAGTAATATATTATTAAATAATAACTTAAGCTAGCTTTTTTATGCTTACAAAATTAAGTGTAAATATTTTTTTTGGTCCTCATTAAATTTCACGATATCCATTTTAGTCCCTAGCAAATAAAAAGACTCTTTGTTCGTGGTCCCTAATAAATTCAAAATGGACCCATTTAGTTGAAATTGTGGTCCCTCGCAAATTTAAAAAAGACCCACATTAGTCCTCAAAAGGACTAAAATAAGTCCACAAATAGTCTTTTTATTTGCTGAGAACTAAAATGAACATTGTAAAATTTGACCGAAAATGATATTTACTCACAAATTAAATTTACTTTTTAATTAACCTCACTTCTCGTACGATTTTAAATAAGATTTTACCGAAAGGAAAAGAAATCATTTTAGGAATAAAGTACATACTAGTCATCAATTCACACAGATAAAGAGAAACCATTTGCACATGGGTGGTTCTTTTTTTTCTTTTTGAACCATTTTTGGGAGCACAGAGAAAATGACGTGTGTGTGTTTACCGACAGAAAAAAGTTGAAAAATCTTGTCATCCGTAGGGGCGTGGCTTCATGATCGATGTCTCGTACAATAATTAACGTGTCGCTCCTGATATATAGCAATCTGTTAATGAATTTTGAGATTCAGGTGGATAATAGATTAGAGTACTGAGTTATGTTTAAATTTTGTATTTTTTTAATGAATATTGAATATGTTATTTTTACTGAAATTATATAATTTCTACGAACTATATATTAGAAAAAAAATTGCATGATCATAAAAAGTTATAAATTTTATATTAAAACTACAAACTCATAAAAAATTAGAAATAGCTTGTAAAGATAATAGAATATTACAGTAATAACTTGTACCTCATTTTTAGAATATTGATGAAAGCATGATCGATCTATATTAACTTATTAACATAATTTATAAAATTAAATAAAAGAAATTATAATAAAATTATTTTTAAAAAAATAAAGCTAAACATGTTATTAATATATTCAAGTTAAATAAATCTTACTAACCACAAAAAAAAAGTGTTAAATACATCAAGTCAATAAAATATTAACATATCATTAAAGCATCAATAAAAACATTATTTAATAACTAATACTACCATTAATTATTTAATAAATTTCATATTTGTAATACATTCAAAAGATGTTAATATTTTAATAATACAGTACAGTTAATTTAGATGTAATCAAGAATCTCTTTTAAATGACCTTCACCAAACTTGACTTGGTTCAATTAATTGCTCACAAGACGTTCACGTTCTTTTTCAACATTGTTAGATTAAAATTTTAATTTATTTTCATCTTTTTTTTTTTAAGATTATGATTTAACGATATTGAAAAAAATAGGTAAAATAAACATAAAAAAAAAGTAGATATAATATCCTATTTCTATATTACACACTTTATTTCATATTAATAAAACATTGAACTTACTCAATCAAAATTGATCTATAATTGATGAAGGGAATTGTACTTGTGAGAGGAATTGTGATTCCATAGATATAGTTGAAAGTTTAATGATGCAATAACTATTAATTATTTTTAATATTTAATTAATGAAAAATGGTGTGAGGTTATATATAAGCGTCAAAGTGTGTGTAAATTTTTTCAGATTAAAAAGTAAGAATCTAAGCGGTTGTTGACTTGTTGTGTGGAAAGTTATTGCATGTCACATAAATTTGTGGTTTAAAATTTTAGTGTGATATAATACACTAATACATCCAGAGGAGACTTCAATACCATATTAAACAATTATTTTTATCTAAAAATTTAAACTATTAAGTAAATGTCCACCAATAGTTTTATATTAGGAAGAATTTTTTGATTCTAATATAACATTTAAGAAATCTTATTTTTCATCTTTTTTGTTCATTTAATAATTATAATTTATTAAATTATACTAATTAATTAATTATTAATTTAAATTATAATTTATTAATAATACTACATATAATTTGATTACACAGATCCGTTGTCAGAGGAAAGAAGTAACAGCGTCTATGTGCCTAGGGACGAATGTTTCGCAGAAGTAAAGCAGCTAACGTTTTCAACAAAGACCTTATATTCGGTAATGCATGCACTGGTGCCGGCACTCTCGACAGCGATAGTTGATAAGAATCTTGGGTTTCCTGTTTTCTCAGCTATAGATGACCTTTTCAACGAAGGGCTTAGTTTGCCTCCTGCTAAAGCCAGAGGGCTTCTCAGTAACATCTTGCCAAGGCTGGTTAGGTTTATTAAAGATACCGAGCAAGACATTCTTCGTTTTGAGACCCCCGCAACAATGAACAGTAAGATATTCTCTGCTTCTTCGCCATTAAATAAGCTTTTTAATCATTTTGTACTATACATGCAAGACGCGTATCGGATGCGTTTGCCACTTAAATGTGCATATCCATGATGCATGTCTTGCATGACACTAATTTTTGTACAAATCATATACGGAGGTTATGTACAATTTAAATGTGCACACTTTTCCTACTCTTTTCATTCGTATTTTATTGATAAATAATTTATTAAAAAATTAAACCGTTGAAATGTCTTTCATTTTGCATCACTTTTGTCAAAAAGCCTATTAGATATCCTTGCTTATTCATTTCTATTTGAGGTTACTAATCAATGGTTTTGTGTGCAGAGGACAGGTTCTTTTGGTTTAGGGACGAAGAATTTGGAAGACAGACCCTTGCAGGTCTTAACCCATGTTGTATCGAAGCGGTCACGGTATTTACAAGCCCATTTTTCCCCCCACCTTTTTTTAATGAAATTAAAAGAAAATTATAACTTTTTTGGAAATATAATGTATTAATAATTAGCAAAAATTATGTGTCATGTAGGAGTGGCCATTGAAAAGCAAACTTGACCCCAATGTTTATGGCCCTCCCGAATCAGCAATCACCACGGAAATAATTGAGCGGGAAATCAAAGGATTCATTACGGTTGAAGAGGTATGTTGTAATCAGCAAGAACCATGCACCGAAATGGAGAAATGTAATATTATAACACGTTAAATAATCTAAGAGTGAATATTTATTATTAATTTGCTTACTTCAATGGAATTTTATCTGATTTTGTGTGTGTGGCTATATTGCTGCTTTTATCTAATTGTGAATGAAATTATGCAATTTGAACAATACAGGCCATAAAACAGAAGAAGTTGTTCATCCTGGATTACCATGATTTGTTATTGCCATTGGTAGAGGAAGTTAGAAAACTTGAAGGCACAACGCTATATGGATCAAGGGCATTGTTCTTCCTTACCCTTGATGGCACATTAAGGCCACTGGTTATTGAGCTAACACGACCACCGATGGATGGAAAGCCACAATGGAAGCAAGTCTTCACCCCTGCATGGCACTCAACCGGTGTTTGGCTTTGGAGGCTTGCCAAAGCTCATGTCCTTGCCCACGATACTGGCTACCACCAACTTGTTAGTCACTGGTATGAACAAATTAACCAATTAATATGATTATGCTCGTATGTAATTCAATAGAGCAAAGTTACACACACATCGCATAAATGCATATTTTTCACCATGTGGTTTTATTTGATGCGACCTCATATTTTGCAAATTCATACCCTGGAAATACATTTGAAAACATTAGTTATATAACAGTTTTATTTTCTTCAGGTTACGAACTCATTGTGCTACAGAACCTTATATCATTGCAACAAACAGGCAACTAAGTGCAATGCATCCAATCTATAGGTTGTTGCATCCACATTTTAGGTACACAATGGAAATCAATGCTCTTGCCCGAGAAGCATTGGTAAATGCAAATGGAATAATAGAGAGCACCTTCACTCCCGGGAAGCATTCTATCCTACTGAGTTCAATTGCATATGACAAACAATGGCAATTCAACTTGCAAGCCCTCCCTGCTGATCTAATCAATAGGGGAATGGCCGTGGAGGATCCAAATTCTCCTCATGGCTTAAAGCTAACCATAGAAGATTACCCTTATGCCACTGATGGCCTCATGCTTTGGGATGCTCTCAAAGGATGGATCACTGAGTATGTGAATCACTACTACTCAGGGTCAAGTCTTGTTGAGTCAGACCAAGAAATCCAAGCATGGTGGGAAGAGATAAGAACAGTAGGACATGGTGACAAAAAGGATGAGCCTTGGTGGCCTGTTTTGAAAACAAAAGAAGATTTGGTTGAAATATTGACAACAATTGTGTGGATAACATCAGGGCACCATGCAGCTGTGAACTTTGGCCAATACCACTATGCAGGGTATTTCCCTAACAGGCCAACCATTGCAAGAAACAACATGCCTGTAGAGGACCCTTCAGACCCAGAATGGCAACTGTTCTTGGACAAACCAGAAGTGACACTATTGAAGTGCTTCCCATCTCAAATTCAGGCCACAACTGTGATGTCAGTGTTGGACATATTGTCAAATCACTCACCTGATGAAGAATATATTGGGCAAACCATAGAGCCAGCTTGGGTAGAGGATCCAATTGTCAAAGCTGCATTTGAAAAGTTTAAAGGGAAGTTGATGGAGCTTGAAGGTGTAATTGATGGGAGGAATCAAGATTTGAAAATGAAGAACCGAAACGGTGCTGGGATTGTGCCGTATGAGCTTTTGAAGCCAAGTTCAGAACCAGGTGTCACAGGAAAGGGAGTTCCATATAGCATCTCTATTTGAGCCTACATTATGGATGTATGTGTGTATCATATTCATCTTCCATTGGTCCCTTTTGAACTGAACTCATTCTAGTTGACAACTTGAATAACAGAGATGGTTTGGCCAAAAACCTTTCCAATCCAACTTGGTTACATCTCTTGACACGTCAAATTGATTAATCGTAACTTCAATTTAAAATTTATAAGACAAAATGTGTATGAACTTTTACTCTTTTAATTACTGTTGCTATATATATATCATGATTGTTTTTTTTTTTTTTTTTAATGAAAAATTAATCATATTTAAAATATTGAGCCTATCATTGACTTGAATTGTTGAAATTTTAACTCGAATGATAGTGTAGTATACTAGTATTGACATGTCCTGGGCAAAACATATACAAGAACATTGATATAACGTGTCTTTGTTTACAGTTTTTTTTCTTTAAATAATCACTTTTTAAACAAATTCTATTAAAAAATTATTACTTTCTCTAAAATTAACTAATTTAATAAACTAATTAATTTGTGATTACGTTTAAATGTACATATTAACGCATGATTGATGCCCATCCATCAAAGCCATGTGATTGTTGTCTAAAAAAGCACAAAATGGGCTATGTGATCAAGCTACTATCAGACTGTCAAAGTAAGAGTCAGCGTCAGGAATATCATCATTTTTTTTTTCCGGTACAATGAATATCATCATTCACTTGCTATATAATTGTTATAAATAGATCTCATATTATTTGATAAGATAAAATATTTTTATTATTAAATATTTTTATTATCAATCCATTATTTTGGATAGTACATTAAAAGTTATTTTATTTTATTTTAGAAATTTTTCACATAATATTGTTGCCGGAGAAGTGAAATCAAACGGTGATTAGTGTACTAGTAGATTGATAGTAAAAATATTTAGTAAGTAATTACTTAAAAAAGTTTGCTTTTTTAAATAGTGATCTTCATATTATTATTTTACATTCATAATATATTAAATTCAAACTTTAATAAAAATAGATGATTAGCTTGATAAAATTTATTTATTTTAGGTAAAATTTAAGAAGTATTATATATATTTGTTATGCATTTTTATTTTATATTCCTTCACATTCAGAGTAAATATTAAACTTTGATTATTAATATGTAAAAATATATAATCAGTTACAATTATATAATAAAACTTGTGAATAAATAAAAGGGTAATGTTTTTCTTATGTCATTGGAGAGAGCTTACCTCATGTTATAGACCCTTCGAAATTTGAGCCATCAATTTTTATTTTTTTTTCTTTTTGTTATAGTGTAGGACCCACTTGAAGATGTCTCTATAGGAGATAGTCTTGTCTCCAATAACATAAGAAAAAGCAATCCCTAAATAAAATGATAAAAGTATAAATAGTATTAAATATTATTTAAAAGATCGTGAAAGGTGAAAGTTGTGCTGTACGTAAATTTAAAGGTGGAAAAATGAGCTATTTCGACCCGTCCAAATAGAGCTAAATGAGCTGAGTTTTTCAATTTGCCAGCGTTTTAAGCCCGCCAGCTATTTTTTTCTTTTTTCTTTTTTACTTTTACTTACCAGCGTACTTATCAAAATCAATGCATAACAACTTTATAATTGCTGCAACCAATCAAGGATAATAAATGTTCTGCAAATGACAAGACAATTTACGTATCTCACTTTATATGCGGCGTGAATTGACTTTCTCAGCCCACTATAAAAAATGAGGGAAGACGGACCGACTCGTTTATAAGCAGGTTGGGACGGTGCGAGACGAACCGCCCGATTTGCCACCATCCACTGAAGAAAATAAAATTATTAGAAAATAGAATGATAAAACTATAAAGGTATGAAAATTTCTTTCATATTATTAAAATTTATATAAAAGATGGTTAAACGTGAAAGTTGTGCTGAACGAGATCCACGTGACTATTAAAGTAGTATTTCAATTTAACAATTTGTTAATAATATATGTGTAGTCCTATCCTTACGCAGACTAGTGCCACATATAAACAGTCCTCATGAACAACCTCAACTAATAGTCACCCCATTAACAGCCATAACTAATAGTCACCCCAGTTATGACATCTAATTTTATGTAAAAACACTATTTCCGAAATAGAAATCTCAGGGTTTTCATAAATTAAACTTGTGATGAAATATATATTTTTTGGAAAGTTGTGATGATATTTATTAGATAATATAATTTTGATTGTGCATGAGAGTTGCAAAAATATAAAAATTATTAATATATATAAGCTCACTTAACAATTTAAATTTTTATGATGAATTGACATTTTATATGATATCAAAGTCGATATGATTAAGTGGTTATGAGTTTGATTCTTATCATTCCTATTTTATCAATAAAAACAATTAAATATTATAAATTTTTTTTATTTAATAGCTTAAGCTTTACAAGTACTGTGCTATCAAAAACTTGGATGGCACCTACAATAGAAAAAGACACATCGTGAGAGGCAAGAAAAATTGCAATCATAATTGCATTATTGCATATTATTTTTATTTATTTTTAATCATCTTCTGGATTGTTCCTTAAAGTTTTCAGGTATTTAGTAAAGATTTCTGAATTTCTACATTAATAATATTATCTACCTAGGAACTAGGAAGTGTGAACTTTTGGGTCAAGCATAAAGTCAAGAAGAGCATATAACAAAAAGCAAATATATAAAGACAGAAAAGATAGGTTATTTCGCACATTTTGGACCATAAAATAAAACGGAAGAGAAAGGTGATAATGGCTCTGGTGTATCAATCACAGAACACCAACCAGATCCTTTTGTTTCTGCAGAGGCCACTCTTCAATGGTAGTGGCAGTGTTAGGACTGCATCTCTTCCACTATGGTCGGGGAAGCAAGTGAAGAGGCAAAAGGTTAAGAGGCTCGTACTCGTTTCTCGCGAAGTTCAAGCTAACTCTACTTCTGTAACTGCAACAGATACAGATACTACCACAGAGAAGACTACTGTGAAGCTTAAAGCTGTGGTTCAGGTCACTGTAACTGTGGCTGGTTTTTTCTCCAGTTTGAGGTTAGACCGGGGAATTGATGATATCACAGATTTGCTTGGTAAATCTCTCCTCTTGGAGCTTGTTAGCTCTGAGCTTGATCCTGGTAAGTATCTATATATATATATATATATATATATATATGCTGATTTATTTGTTTATATATTCTTGATATGGTAGTTAATTTTATTATTAGTGATTGCATGTGATTGATTATGTTTTTCTTTTCTTTTCTCATTAGCCTTTCAAAATTACACGTCCGGGTAAATTTCCCATCTTGCTATACCTTTCATAATTAAGGGTGTAAAAGGACAGAGTTAGGCTAAGATTTGGCCTCAATAAATCATATCTGCGTCTAAAACATTTTATGCTAGCCCAGACTTATTATCTTGGTTTGAACTATATATTTAAAACAAAAGGCCTAACCATGGCTATTGACCTATTATAGGCCATCGAATCTTAAGATATATCAAGAAATAGAAAAAATAATTAAATTATTATTATTTTATTATTTAAATTTTTTTAAACAATTATTTTATTTTATTTAAAATAAATAATATAATATAGGTGAATTTATAAATTTATAGACCACACGTTATAAAATCTATTACTTATTTTTTAAATAGATTTTATAAAGTATTCAAGACCTCTTCTATTTTATTTAATATAATAGGTCAGACCGATTTGGGAGCGATTATTTGATGGTCCGATAGTATGATGCTCCCGGCCAAAAACGAAAAATAAAAAGGACTAAGAAGAAAATATAAGAAAATATAAGAGTTTAAGAGTACTTTTTTTACCAAAAAAAGTAAAGGAGCACAAAATTTAGTGGGCCAAGTTTATATTAAAATTTTCCTGATTTGGCTAAATTGGGCTATAGGTCCTTGAGCGCTTGAGTCACTTGTACCTTATTTATGAACAAAAATTTTGTGTATTTGATGTACTCAACTGAGTATATTTTTTTCCAAAAAGAAAAAGAAATTAATGTGGCAGATTTTTTTTTTTAAAAGTGATAATAATTTTTTTCAAATATAAAAAAAAATGTACCCAATAAGATACAGTTGATGCACCAAATATATTTCCCCTATTCATAATGATAATATTAAACACTTGCTCAGAATTTAATTTTCGCTTTATACTTTTTAATTTCTTTTAGGAGAAAGATTTTTTGCAATAATTAAAATAAATGCCTTATCGATAAGATATAGTTGTAATTCTTTTTAATTTTTTTTCTCTCCTTAAAAGGCTGTCAAGTGTCAACTGATGGGACAGAAAGACAAAAAATAATTGGAAAACTTAAAAAACCCCTTACAAGTTTCCTCAAAATCACTTAATTTCCTCTCCGAAATTTTTAATCATTTACCCCCTTACTTAAAATTTCTTTATCACTTACCCCCTAATTTGATTTTCTATCCAAAATTTTGTTAACAGAGTTAATTTTTTTTTTTAAAATACCAAAATTACCCTTAATAGAAAAAGGAAAACATAATTTCATCACAGATGCAGTTTTAGACGAACTTACGAAATATTTTCTTTAAGGTAGCCTTGTTAGAATTAGTAATTATTAAAATTATTTCCTGCAAATCTCTTTGCCATTAAATACTCATTCACAATTGTTGGTGTGGTTGTTCAAATAAAATGATTAAAGAGACATCATCTCAGCAAGTTTAGATCTTCCCTTTTTTGTTATAAGCTTTTCTGTTATTATATGACCAACAAATCAGACTTTATAAATTTATTTAGAGCCGCACTTTATTTTGCTTGCACAGCAATTGAAAAGCTTTACGTTCTATGCTTCATATATGCCTTGTTTATTTCCTTAATCATATGATATTATCAAGCAAACATGCTGAATGTGCTATTTCGTTGTTTTCTGTGTCGTTGAGAGTAGAGGGAGGATTCAATCGTTGATTTACATTCTTGACTTGCTTACGTGAGTTTGTCTAAAACTGCGTTTGTGAGGAAATTATGTTTTTTCTTTTTTCTATTAAGGGTAATTTTGGTATCTTTTAAAATTTTAACTTTGTTAACAAAATTTTGGATGAAAAATTAAATTAGGGGGGTAAATGATTAAGAAATTTTAAGTATGGGGTAAATGATTAAAAATTTCGGGGAGGGGGTTAAGTGATTTTGAGGAAACTTGTAGGGTTTTTTTTTGACATTTTCCCAAAATAATTTTAATGTTACAACTATCTCTTACTAGTAAAACATAGTTGATTTTGTTTGTTACAAAAAATCTCAAGTTGGGGACCCATATTGTTAATGAAGAATAATATACTAGTGTTATAAAACCCAGTCCAAATCGGGAACCAACAAACCTATCATCAGACTGGTTCGAGTCAAGTATCAAACCCGATCAAAATTTGGTCAAACCCGCCAAAAACTGGCCACTGACTTGATCGGTCATGCATTTATATATATATATATATATATATATATATATATATATATATTCATAACCAAAATTGTTTAAAAAAGTATAGAACTTATTTTAAATTTTTTGTAATTTTATTTGCTAATAGTATACTCTTTTACAATGACCTCAAATTTTAGCTTTTAATATTGAAGCAATTTGCAGAACAATAAATTAAAAGAATGTGACATATGGCATTTAAATGTAGATGAATTTGAAAAATATAAGTTCACAACATTTGAGCTTTTGAATGTTATTGAGAGGTATGCTTATAAGGATTCTGAGTTACAATTTAAATTGATATAGTAATAACGTGTATTTTCGTTTATTTGTGCTTCATGAACTTATAAAAGTGTGATTCAATAATTTTTGATCTTATTTAACGAATTTTGTTTAACTTATTTTTATATAAAAATATAATTAAATTTATATGTTCAATTTATATATATATATATATATATTGGGGTAGCCGATCCGACTAATATCTCTATACCTCGGAATCGGGTTTAATAATACTATACTATACACAGAACTATTCTAATATCTAAATTCAGGTTTTTAACATTTTATTTTGGAATCGGGAAATGGCTTTTTCCTAAACAGTAAAACATGTCCTTTTTGAAATGGAATAACTTTTACTGAAATGACCATTCACAATTTTTTTCTACTCACGAGGTTTACGTACACTGTGTACTTAATTTCAGTTGGGCGTATCTGACGTGATGTCATTTGTTATTCGTTGTAGTAAAATCAAATCAGTGCTTGCAACATTCACAAGTAATGTTGTTGTCAGAAAATTAATTTGTACGATTAATTCTGTTTTTCACACAAAAACAAACAATAGTCTGGCCCACTTTTTTGTTAATTTCGCTTTCCAATATGGGTGCTAGAATATCTTATTTATTTTTACGTGTGTGTATGAATCTCCACGTGTGCATGAGGGACCAATAGGACAAGAGAAGATGACCCAAAAGGTTTCCTTAGAAATGTCAAAATGAACAGTGACAGGGTCCATGCATGGGCCCAAGTGTTCGTACCTAAAGATTGCAAGATTGAAATATAAAAGATATCTACCACAAACTCAATTCAATAATTATGTATCCACGTGAAACGTACAATACTTTATAGTTTTTGTAACTTTGTGTTGTGTGTAGCACCTTTCAACTTAAATAAAAACAAAATCATTATCTTCTCTTTCAACCTTGATTTTGACCAATTTTTTTTTTTTTTGAATTGCTAGACTGGTTTTCGGGGCTTTGCTCCGACTATATCCAGTCCGATTCGGGTAGATTACTTAGCATTGGCAGGTGAGTCTTTCAGCGAGAATTTTTTGTATACACAAGATCTCGAACTCGAATCCTTGCTTAAGCGAACCCAAGTACCTTACCATTTGAGCCAACCCATTGGTTGATTTTGACAAATTTGAAATAGTTAAAGAGTAGATGAATTGTGATTTAGAATGAAATTCGGTTAGATTTTGCCCAGACTCAAGTCTATTATTTATTATATATCTTTTAACAAGGTTTATTATTTATTTATTTATTTTATGAATAAGATACTTTGCAGTTACTTCAAAATTACACAATATCTATGCCTTAAAAAAATTGTAATCTCAAAAAATAAAAAAAATAAATAACATTCAGTTAATATGAAATATTTGGATAACATGTACTTTTTTTAAAACTGCTGAGGATCTTAACACCTTTTTTTTGGAAACATGAAAGCTTGGTTTGAAAAATAATTTAAATTTTTTATGTAGATTAAGCAATAGAGATTTTTCTTTTAATGTTAAAAAATCTATACCTTTTAACAAAATTATCAACTAGTCTGATAATTAAACCAAATAAGTTTGTTCTAAAAGCTTGAGCTTTAGAATAATTAGTTAAATAATTTTATTTTTTTTTGAAAAACCTATATGTTTGTTAAGTAAATATCTCGAAAATGGTGAGACCTTAGATCCTCAATAGGCCACCTAATTTAATCATACCCTTATTTGTCAAGATCTTAATTTCATAAGGGTTTTTTTTAATAATAAATTTAATAGAATGAATGATATTATAAGCATACGGAAACAATTAAAATGAAAAAAAAAAAAAAATATTTTTTTTGTTTTTAATTTTTTTTCTTATTTCTATATCACGTTATCAATTTTTTTTTAATAATTTTCTCAGTTTTTAGACACATTTGATGTATATTCTGTGCGTTTATAGGTATGTTCACTTATTTTTTGTTGTTGAAGTTTTGATAAATGTTAATTAAATGAATAATTGTGTTGATTTAGAAGCGGGACTAGAGAAGGAGACGATTAAAGCATACGCACACAAAGCAGGACGAGATAATAATTCGGTTAAGTATGAAACCGATTTTGAAGTCCCAAATGATTTTGGGGAGATTGGTGCAATTCTGGTTGAGAATGAGCATCACAAGGAGATGTTCCTTGAAACCATCCTCCTTGATGGCTTCCCAGAGGGTCCAATTCATTTTCACTGTGCCTCTTGGGTTCACTCTAAGTTCGATAATCCTACCAAAAGGGTGTTCTTCACCAACAAGGTAATTGACCATATAATTACGTACAGTTATTAATTGTTACTTACTTTGCATCTCATTGAATTGAAACCCAATGTTATATGTCTTAACATACCCTGCTTACTTTGTTATATCCATTATTTTTGACTTTAAATATTACATCATGTTTATTTAAATTGTTTCTTTTACTACGCGCCATGAATGGTTTGTGATTTATATATAAGGGTTTTATAATTCTCATTTAACATGAGAATTTGAATTTTCCTACACACACTTTGATTTTTGTGCCAACGTGGATCTTACATATAATTTTTTCTAACATACGGATTCCACGTACTTTTTGTCTCTACAACATGAGAATTCAATTTTCATGTTGAATGAGAAATATAAAACCCTATATATAATTAGCACACACAAATGTAATTAACTAGCTTGATTTTATTATTGGTATAGTGTTACATACCGTCAGAGACACCGAGTGGTATAAGAAGAATAAGAGCAGAAGAGTTGAGTAATCTTCGAGGCAGTGGAGAAGGAGAAAGGAAGAGCTTCGAAAGAATATATGATTATGATATATACAATGACATGGGAGATCCTGATAAAAGCCTTGATCTTCAGAGACCTCCTTTAGGAGGCAAAGAACTACCTTATCCTAGACGTTGCCGAACTGGCCGCCCACACAGTGAAGCAGGTTGGTAATTCATTTTATTCTCTCCCTTCTTCTTTTTCTTTTTCTTTGTTTAAATCAAACTAATCCGGTTCGATTATTATCAGACCACACGACTCTTCTCTCTCTTAGATTTCCCCCTCAGTTTATTGAATGATTAACTAATCCGGTAGAGTCGGGTACGCGACCCTCTCTTTCTAATATGATGTTCACGGTCTAGATTGAATCAGTTTTGAAGCAAAAATTATCTGATCCAATTCATTTGGTTTGTTTTTAAGAATGTAAATGATTCAAAAGTCTTGTGAAGGGAGCAAGTGATAATTAAGAAAACTAATAGGGTTTTTTTTTGAAATTTTCCCTTAAATAAAAGCTGAACTCATTTTAGGAGGGAATATTAAGTGTATATGTCATGTGTGATGTAGATCCATTGTCTGAAAAAAGAAGCAGAAGATTTTACGTTCCAAGAGACGAATGCTTCTCAGAGGTGAAGGAGTTAACTTTCTCAACCAAGACCTTATACGCAGTGTTGCTAATATTGGTTCCATCTCTTGGGAAAATTATCAAAGACAAGGAACTTGCATTTCCATACTTTCACGAAATAGATTCGCTTTTCAGCATTGGACTTGACTTGCCTCATCATGAACATCATGAAACTGAGAAGGGATTCCTAGGAACCATCATGCCGAGACTCGTCAAAAACATTTCTGGCGATGTGGGACACGTGCTTCGCTTTGAGACCCCAGAGGCAATGAGCAGTGAGACTTCCTTCAATTTCTAATTAATTTGATTTAATTATACTATACTTATATATATATTATATATAGTGGATCAAGATTAAACACTTATATTTATATAGGACCTTGATTCTATAGCATAAATCTATCTCTGTTTTGTTTGCAGGGGATAGGTTTTTCTGGTTTAGGGATGAGGAATTTGCTAGGCAGACTGTTGCTGGTCTCAACCCATGTAGCATAAAATTGGTCAAAGTAAGCGTTATTTTACACATATGAACTTTATTTTTTAAATTAAGCTATTGAAAATCCATGTATACTTATAAGAAATTATGTTACTGTTTAAGTAATTAAGGTAATGTACTTTCTTGTACAGGAATGGCCATTGAGGAGTAAACTTGACCCAATTGTATATGGTCCAGCAGAATCAGCAATTACCTCGGAAATTATCAATAAAGAGATTGGAGGCATACTTTCTGTAGAAAAGGTTTACAACTTTTAATTAAATTTAACAAAGCATATTAATACTGTTAGAAAGAATATATCTAGAATATCTTTATTATTTGTAAAATGCTCTGAACTCGGTATATCGGGTTCAATTCTCACCGCCCCCACTTTCTTTCTAGTGAAATTTCTTTCTTCGTACAGGTAAATGGGTATGTGCATTGTCTATCCTTCAAGCCCAGTGGGCTTTCGTGTGAGGGGACATGTTGAGATATATAAAACCATTAATGTAGTCTCACTCAACAACTTAAGCTTTTGGGTTAAATTGATTCTTTACATGATATCAGAGCCTAACGAGAGAAATCCTTGTCCGCCTTTCCTTAGTCTTTTTTCATAATTTTAATACGGTAGTAAAGAGATATCACCCTCCGTGAGTGATTGACTTTCCAGTTTGTTCCCTTTCTCTCTGCTTCTCTTAGTTTCTTCTTTAAGTTCCCATCTTCCATCGAAGACCTAACCACCATAAACAATTAGCATCAACCAGAACCATCTCTGCCTCTGCACAGCAGCAGTTCTCGTTGTCCCTGTTCATCTGCTAATGTTCCTTTTTTTGCTGTCTTTTTGGCCTTGGAGCATCATCTCTGACCGCAATTGATCCAATTGTTCTTGTCTCTCCGAGATGGTTCTGCCTTCGCTGCTGCAAGTGTTGTGCTCCGTCATCGTCGACGACCCAGCCACCGTCCAGCCCTCTGTCTGCTTTCGCCATCACCGGTTCGTTGTTGCCGTCCGCGTCTCTTTCCTCCGGTCACATCAACTTTTCTTCTCATTCCTGTCTTTCATTTATCTCCGTTGTTGCCTGGTCCGCGGATTATTCCAGTTACACTGGCTCTGTCGGCTTGTATCCCAGTTGCAGCAATGTCTTTCCCGGCTCTTTTGGCTAATGTCTTTCCCAGTTGTTGCCTGGTCCGCAGATTTTTCCAGTTAAAGTGGCTCCATCAGATTGTATCCCAGTTGCAGAAATGTCTTTCCAAGCCCTTTAGGCAGATGTCTTTCCCAGCCCTTTAGGCTGATCTCTTTACCAGTTCTTCAAATTGATGGTCATTCCAGTTGATTTGTTGTCGATTTCTCCGACTTACATTCCATGAAACATCGTTTTAGTTTTCTTTCTTCCCAAGATGAAGTGTCCCTCCATCTTGAGAGGGAGTATTCGAGATATAAATAATATTTTATTAGTTTTCATTTTAGTTTATTATGTTTGTTATTTTTCTTTAGGGTGAGTTGTAGAGTTGTTACAACCCCCACTCATTTATTTTGATGTTATGTTTCTTAGTCTTTCTTGTTCAAGCTTGTTGCTTATGATCTTTACACTCCAGCTTGAGGGGGAGTGTTAGAAAGAATATCTTTAGAATATCTCTAGAATATCTTTATTATTTGTAAAGATCTATTTCCTTATTTCATTAGGATTTAGGTTAGGTATGAGCTAAGCCCATTAGTATTTCTTTATATATTGTACTCTCTAGAATCAATTCAATATACAAATTTATTTCAATGTTCCTCTCGTCTCTTGTAATTTTATAAATACCATGATATCATATGATTATTTGCGTATAAACTCATTTCATTATCAGGGGTTTGGATTGTAAAATACAAATATTAGGATAACAAATCATAAATGAGTAGAATTCAATCATTTATTCATTTATTTTTATGAGTGACTATAACTTGTATTTTATTTTTTGAAGGGCACCGTACCCTATTTAAGTCAACTAAACTTTTCGTTCTTGAATTAATTATATGGGTTAATATATGCTCCTGCAGGCGATCAAAGAAAAGAAGCTATTCATGCTAGACTACCATGATTTATTTTTACCCTATGTTAGCAGAGTACGCGAACTTAAGGGGAAAACACTCTACGGGTCACGAACTTTGTTCTTTCTAACGCCAGATGGGACACTGAGGCCTCTTGCCATTGAGCTAACTAGACCACCAATGGATGGAAAAGGCCAATGGAAGCAAGTTTTCACGCCTTCTTGGCATTCAACCAGTGTTTGGCTCTGGAGGATTGCCAAGGCTCACGTTCTAGCACATGACTCTGGATATCACCAACTTGTTAGTCATTGGTACGTAACGCCTCAGCGACTACCATTTAACTTAAAGACCATAATATAAACTGGTACATATTATATACATTATACAATAATATAGATATTGGGGATGGAAAATTTGTGAAGGCTATTATGTTTATTCTGTCTTTTTAAGCGTCTCATTGTTAATTACAGTTGTCTTCAGTCGATATTTTCATTGATCTTTGTCAAATAACATTAAATTTCCTTCTCTTTTGGTAGGTTAAGAACTCATTGTGTGACAGAGCCATATGTTATTGCCACTAATAGGCAACTTAGTGAGATGCACCCCATATATAGATTGCTACACCCTCATTTTCGTTACACTATAGAAATTAATGCTCTGGCACGAGAAGCACTTATTAACGCTGATGGCACAATTGAGAGCTCATTCACACCAGGAAAGTATTCAATGGAGATTTGCTCTGCTGCCTATGATCTTGAATGGCGGTTTGACATGCAGGCTCTACCTGCGGACCTAATTAGAAGGTAATCAATCTAATAAGTTAAAAAAAAAAAAAAAAAAATTTTAAGTTCATGTTTAAAATACCTTATTTTTTTTAAAAAAAAATTCTTTTTAGAAGATACTTATATTTATAAACTACACTATGTACTATAGGTAGTACATACTACTTAAACATGTACATAACGTAGTTTGTAAACAAAAAGTTTGTAAATATAACCTTATCCCTTGTTTTTATCTTATAATCTTGATATATTTTCCTTATTAGGGGAATGGCTGTGCAAGATCCATTTGCTCCACATGGGTTAAGGCTTACCATTCCAGACTATCCCTATGCCAATGATGGACTCCTTCTATGGGACACTATAAAGGTATGGGTTACTGATTATGTCAACCATTATTACCCAGAATCAAGTCTTGTGGAGTTAGATGTAGAGCTACAGGCATGGTGGACAGAAATTAGAACAGTTGGTCATGCTGACAAAAAGGATGAACCATGGTGGCCAGTTCTTAAAACCCCAAAAGACCTTATTGAAATCCTTAATATAATCATATGGGTAACTTCAGGTCACCATGCAGCTGTGAACTTTGGGCAATATGCTTATGGGGGTTATTTCCCAAATCGACCTACAATTGCTAGGACTAAAATGCCTATAGAGGACCCTACAGAAGAAGAGTGGAAAAAGTTCATTGCAAAACCTGAAAGTGCACTTCTCAAGTGCTTTCCTTCACAACTTCAAGCAACTAGAGTCATGGCTGTCTTGGATATACTATCAACTCATTCACCAGATGAGGAATACATTGGGGAGAAGATGGAACCATCATGGGCTGAAAACCCTGTGATAAATGCTGCCTTTGAAAGATTTAGAGCAAGACTGAAGAAAATAGAAACACTGATTGATGAGAGAAATGAAAATACAAATTTGAAGAACAGAAATGGAGCTGGCGTTATTCCATACGAGCTTTTGAAGCCTTTCTCTAAGCCAGGTGTGACTGGTATGGGAGTTCCATGTAGTATATCTATCTAAATTGGCAATTTGATATGGGGAAAAGTAAATCTTACGTTGAAGAATTCAAATCTCATGTCATAGATATATCAAGTGTGAGATCTATCTATTTAAAAAAAACAAAAAACAAAAAAATGAGTGGCGACCTTTTTATGGTGTGTGTAGGAAGGGTTTATTTTCTTATGCAACATGAGAAAAACAAACCCATATTATGTCTGGGCTTAAGGTTATATTTTTCGACATATGTAGTAGACTAAATAAATGTTAATTTGCTTGAGCTTGAATGAAACAAATTAAATAGTATATATTATTGAGGAATCCAAGTATGAATAGGTGAAGTCCCACATTAATGAATTAAGTGAATATTATATAAGTAGAATGACTCATGCACTTCATGTCTTAAAGATTTTTGGTTGATTATAGTGTTTAAACTCACTTGATGTTGTTGCTCACTTAGCTCAAGTGTGAGCTGACACATTATTCCAGTGGGAGGACTTCTTTGGATATTTTTCATTTTCGTAGTTCATAAAAATAAGGAAAAAATATTTATTCTTTTAAATGACATAACTTATATCATTTCACTCTCACAAAGAGGTGGGACCCACATCTTCACTTTTTTTGTCAACACTCTCTCCTCTTTTATCTATCTTTTTTTCTCTTTTAAAATGACACAACTTTACATCCTTTAAGATGATACACCATTTTCCGTAAAAATAATTATAAACCGCACTCCTGAGTAAGTATCCTTTTGCATTCAGGCCATCCTTATAGCAGTTAACCAAAACAGAACACCATGAAAATTTTAAACAATTATAACATAGATATAGATGTTTATAATTTAACGGATTAATTTAAAATTAAAGTTGCTCTTGATTAATGACCAAGTTTACATCATATTATTGGGGATCATCATGACATCATGCAATAAGTCTAATATCTTTTAAGAAAATTCCTAAACCAATGCGCAGAGAGCTTTTGGTGTCGTTTCAAATTATCTTTGAAATCGATGAAGTTAATTCCAAAACGCACGGTGTAGCCTGAATTCCATTCAAAGTTGTCCAAAAGTGACCATGCAAAATATCCTTTAACTTTCACATCATCCCTTCACACCAAAAGGCAACAAATAATAATATGTTAAAATGCATAAAAATATAAATTACGAAATAAGTACAGAGAGGGTCCCCTTACTTGATTGCAGTTAAAACATAATAAAGATGGCGATAGAAGTAATCAATTCTATAAGTATCCATGAGCGCCTCTTCAAGTGTTAGTGTCGGATCATTGGACTCGTCCACACCTATAATTTAATCAAAATATGAAATTTTTTGAAGATTGTACACATGTACTATTAATATATATTAATTAACTTATGCAAGATTATTATCTTAAATTTTTATTAAAAAGTAGTGTATGTGGAAAATTAAAAAGAACATAATTAAAGTCGGGATAGATTATTCTACTTACTATTCTTTCTGCCTACCTTTGTCTACCACTCTCCAACACCGTTAGATTAGAATCTCAATTACATTTATCATTTCTCTCTTCTATTGAGATTCTAATCTAACGATGTCGGAGGGTAGTAGACAAAGGTAGATAAAAAAAATGATACGTACATTAACCTATTCCATTAAAGTATTACCATTTTCTGTGATGTAAATTACAGGGTTGTTATACTCTCTCTTTGTGTACAACAATAGTTCTCGAATTCCCCTGGGATAAACATATAGCCAAGATGAAGCAGCCTGTATAGAAATGGGGTTTCTTTGTTATTCATCAAATAACAAATAAATCATAAAAGCGAAACATCTGAGTGTATATGCACTTACGCAATACACGCACAGATGCCTCATATTTCAGATTTAACACAAAATGAAGGAGAGTGATACATACCATTGGTCCAATGAGGCTCCCGTTACGCTCAGCTGTCATAAGGCATAAGAATTATTATTTTTGAAATACAAAATCAAATTACGGATAAATTTTTATAATAACGCTTTAAGGTTATTTCAATTTAATCAATTAGTACACATTCATATTCTAGAACTATTAATTTCTTGGTCATAAATTACCTTGGTCCTGTTTTGTTTTCCCCATAATTTTATAAAAAAAAAAGTGTATATAATTTCTTCATTTTGAGTTGTAATCAAGGTGTTCTTACATGTTACATTGACATGAGAATCCTTGTAATAGCTAGATTGGCTTGTGTCATTACTTGGATAGGTTATATGGGCAGCATAATAAGTGGTGTAGTAATTTATTCCAATAAAATCAAATGAACCAATAAGTAGCTTGGATTGCTCTTCAGTGAAGTTTGGTAACCGGCTTCCCAGCAAAGACATCATGGTTTTTGGATACTTTCCTCTTGTGAGTGGCTGCATAAACCTGCAATCAAATTAATTTAGAAGCATCACACAAACACAGAGAGAGTAGAATATAATAATAGCCTTTACCAGCCAAACATGAAATCAAGAGCTCGTTGGGAAGCTAGTTGATCTGATTTATCATTTGAGAAGGGCAAGAACCAGTGAGAATTTAAGGCAATGCCTATTGAACCTTTTTGAGAAGCCTGTCACATTCAAGTTAATGTTTTGAACATTCATAATAAACTAGATTTCTCGAACTAGTAAATTCGATCATAAAAATCACTCCCCGTTAAACTCGACTAGCGAGTGTGGGATGGAGGAAGTCCTTGTATGCAGCCTTACTCTTGCATAATTGCAAAGAAGCTGTTTCCTGGATTCGAACCCATGATCTTTCAGTTATGAAAAAACAGTTTTATCACTGCTCCGGTTCGCCTCCTTAACTAGTAAATTCGATCATGAATAGAAAAAATAAAAAATAAAAAATAAAAATAGAGGTTCAAGGTTCTCTAGTATTGCACCTGATAATTGGTTTTATAAATTTTGACAGCAGCTGCATGAGCAAGGAGTTGGTAGTGTGAGGCCATATAGGGCTCTGTACCCATACTGTAACTCCATGGTTCATTCAGAGTGATCCAATGCTTCACTCTATCTCCAAATTCCTTGAAGCAGAGCTCTGCATAGTCCCGGAAATCATTTCTGCATGTAGAAATGCATGTTCAACACTGCTAAAATTCAATTTATACAAGCAGCCATTGTTTTATAATTACCAACATTCTCCCTAGCTTGAATGAAAATTCATGTTTTTGTCACTTACATAATATGAGGGCTTAAGAAGCCACTGTACTCGTCTTGTAAGGCTTGGGGAAGATCCCAATGGAAAAGGGTCACAAATGGTTGCAGACCTGGATTAATCCCATCAATTTACTATGATTATGAACATCATGAATATGATATAGGAACAAAAAAAGGATTATATGTGACCATTAGCCAGTAGCTCGTTGATGAGGTTGTTGTAATATTTGATTCCTTCTTGGTTTATACCCGCGCTTATTTTTCCTTCTGCATATTTTATAAGGTGGATAATGTAAATGAAAGATTCAACTAGCTGAAACTCACAAGGATGGAATTAAATCCAACATTTTCTTACTTGGCAGTATCCTTGACCAAGAGATGGAGAATCTGTAAGCATCCGTGTTCATATACTTCATGATCCCAACATCTTCCTATTAACATGTAAAAAATTGAGAACAAAAGACTTAGAGCTCCACGTAAGTAATTCCCATGATTGACGTTTAATGCTCCTTTGTAAATTATATCATATAAAAAGCAAAAACACAAATGCAATACTACTTAAATCATGTCATCAATGTGGATTCAAGAAGGATTTCATGATACTCTTTGATCCCACTCTCCTACTCTCAACAACTTGTAACACGTGAAAGATACTTGAGAACGTTCATTATCATTAATGGCATATTATACTTCTCATGTTACATGAGACGAGCCTTCTTATGCTATAGAGACAAAAGTTACGTGGCACTCATATGCTAGAAAAAATCATGTGTGAGACTTATGTCAGCACGAGAAACGAAGGGTAGAAAAATTTGTTACTTAATAAGTATAAAACCCATATACAAAAGTTAGAATGATAAAAAATTTACAAGACTTAAAGAATGCTTTACAAATTGCAGTATCCGTCTGTATTGTACCTTATAGCGATGATACTGATCGACAGCCACATCTCCATTACTTCCATCCGATATTTTATCTGTATGCAATTAAACCAATTACTATATGGAAAAACATATACATGACCATTTCCCACAGGGATTGGAATTACGGTTATCAAATCAAAATATTGAACCATTGATTGATGCTTGTGTTTTATGTTTTCTTCAATATCTAATTATCTATGCTTTTTTTAATTTTCACTTTTAACTTTGTGTTAAGAACACTTTTCGCTACCATAAAGTGACTAAAAGAACTTGTTCAATTTTACACACAAAAGAGAAGGAGAGGCTCCATTCTGTATGTTCCGTATCTTCAGCTAAGAAAATATTTTATATTGCTAGAGGTTAAGCAGTCTGGTCCGGCAACTGAGTTTATTTGGTTTTCACGCCAAGGACATTTTCAAATTGAATATTTGTTTTTCTTAGGCGTTAATAGCTCTCCAATTGCTTGCAGATCAGAAAATTTGCAACAACACTTACTTTCATCAGGATCCGTTTTCGTATCTTATTTTTTATTTTTTTGTTGTTAATTTCAGGATCCGGCTCAGCTGCAAATTTTTCCATCAACAGTGACAACATAAATGAGGAACCCTTTTTCTTATTGTATTAAGGCATACAGCACATTTGTTTAACCACACGTTAACCTCTTTGAATTACTAAACTTAATCAATATAAACAAGTGAAATTGTTTTCTTATGTTACATAAGATAGCAAAAGTTTCCTACGCACATGTAAAAGAGAGATCAGAGAAAATGTATAAATGAATTCTAATTTTTTATATATGAGCATAGGAAAGTGTTTTTATCTTATGTAAGATAAGAAAACAATTTTCCTATAAACAATTACAAAAAGTTCTGCATTGTCAAGGTGATCATTAATTATAGAAACAGAACCGGTAAATTTAGCATCTCTTATTTTTTCTTCCAAATTATACACCGATTTGAGATAGAGTAAAATTAAAGAAAGAAAATAATAAATGCTGATACCTGGGTTTTTATGAGTAAGAGTATCCCAAGTACTTGGTCCTTTGCCGCCTTCATTTGCAGCACCTTCGTACTACATCATCAACACAAAAAATTATACTGTACAAATTTAACTCATTTTCTTAAGCTTCTTTCTAATAAGTTGATCCTCAGACATGTACTATACTAGCTTAGGCCTTAGAATGATATTATGAAAATTTGAAGTAAAGATCCACACATACAAACACATATATTTTTATGGTCTAGAGTAATTTTAAAAAATAAAAATAAAAAATAAAAAACTGTAGCAATGTGAAATTGTGATGAAACCTGGTAGGCGGAAGAGGCGGTTCCGAAGATGAAACCTGCGGGGAAACTGCTCCGATTTAGAGAAGCAACGTCGACAAGAACAGGCGTAACAGCTTCTATGATTGTATCCGACAAGCTAATAACAAGAGTCAAGACACCAAGGTGGAGGAGACATAAAAAGCCTCTGAATGCCATGCCCATGTATAACTGTAATTCAAGGTAACAATGGGATAGACAAACTACGACTTCAACATATGAAGAGACAAGACTAAAGAGAAGCTTATATAAGAAAATATATTTGGTGAATGGCATCTATTGTTACAAGCTAGCATTAATAATTTAAGCGCCTATTTTGGTGTCAGATATGAGGTCTAATAATATAAGCTTATATTATACGTTATGATATTTTCAGTTATTTGGTGTGTCCATCGTATAATATAAGTTTATACAGCAGAATTCCAATGGCGGAGCCAGCATGGCATGTTAGCCAGTGCCAAAAAATTTAGTCAGTGCCCAAATAGCTACGGTTCTATAGCTACGACCAAAACGTGGTTAATTTTCAAAAAAATTGAAACATGATTTGCTACGTTTTAAGTGTAGCTAAATGAACGTGGCTAAATAAGCCAGTGCCAAGGCACCTGCTGGCACCAACGTAACTCCGCCACTGCAGAATCCCTTAGGACATGTTTGGTGTGATGTATAAGGCTTGATAGTATAAGCTTATACTACGCGTTAAGACATTTTCAGTTATTTGGTGTGACCATCGTATAATATAAGGTTATACAACAGAATCCCTTAATACATCAAAATGAAGTATAACTTAATCAAGCCTAAGGAGGTGGGATTAGGCCTGATAAAGAGTTGATGTATTAATATTGCTTACAAGCACAATTTTCAAGAACTAATATATCATTTCAATATTAATATATTAAAATAATTTTTTTAATATATTAATTTTTAAAATGTTGGATAATATTATCTTATACAATACCATACCAAAAATAGGATAGTATTAAAATTTAATCAAGTCTTATACAATGAGGTCTTATACTATCAGGTCTTATCCTATACTATGCACCAAACATACCCTTAGGGCTTGTTTGGTGTGACGTATAAGGCATGATACTATAAGCTTATACTATATGTTATGATATTTTCAGTTGTTTGGTGTGACCATCGTATAGTATAAGCTTATACAGCATAATCCCTTAATACATCAAAACGATGTATAACTTAATCTGGCCTAAAGGAAGGGATAAGGTCAGATAAGACATTGATGTATTAACATCGTTGACCAATGTAATTCTCAAAAATTAATATATTATTTAATATTAATATATTAAAATAAAAATTAATTTTTCAATATATTAATTTTTAAAATATTGAATATTTTTATTTTTATAAAAATGTATTTATATTTTGGACACACTGATCAATAATTTTTTATAAAAATTAATATCATATGACATTTTTTGAAGAATTATATAAATTCTTTATTAAAGGATATTTTTATTAAAAATATTTATTTTTATCCTATATAGTATTATATAGTGTATTATCAAATACTAGATGATATTATCTTATACAATATATTATTTTATACAATACCGTGTCAAACGTTGGATAGTATTAAAATTCAATCAGACCTTATACTATCAAGTCTTATATTGTCAGACTTTAATCTATACTATGGACCAAATATGTCCTACGAGAAAAAACAAAACTGACCCGAGCAAAGGATCTTTTCAGTTTAATTACATCTTCAGACGTTGATGCTAAATTAATATAACGGAGATATATTTTTTGTTTATTATATCTAATTGAATACACGTTCAGAATTGTTACTTAAATCATTTGATGAGAGAACCGCTTATAAGGAGTATACATTGATTATAGATGTGCCCACTTACCAAAGATCATAAAGAGTTTATTTTTTGGATATACATTAATTACCTGACTCATCATTTATAAAACATGATTCTTTAATTGAAAAATAAATATTACAATTTGTTTATAAAAGATTCTTTAATTTCTTCTTCCTTTTCGGAATGGAAAACGTTATTCTTCAAGTGCAACTCCATATGCACTTTTCCCAAATTTGAACAGTGACTTTACTGATTTTTGTTTTGACTTTAGCCGGAAGTGGCTTTACAAAAAACGTCATGGCATGCTTCAAAGACACCATAGGTGAGTAGAATTCACTCCTTTATTCATTTATTTTTTGAATGGCACCATATATCACAGGGTTGTTACACTTCTCTTTGTGTACAACAATAACTCCCGAATTCCCCTCGGATAAACAAATTGCCAAAATGAAGTAGCGTGTTGGATATGACTTATATTTCGTATATCGATGTGGGTTCTTGTTGGCGGTCTCTAATTTATTATAATTTTTTTTTACTTAGTAGTTTAGGCTTAGACCGATGAATAGATGTTGTTAGAGTTTTCTAAATCCTATTTATATTCTATTGTAAATTCTATTTATATTCCCTTGTAAATTGAGTGACTTGTAATGAGTGGAGGTGATAAATTGCTATGTGAATTTTTCTTCCCTTTCTCTTTTCTATTGTCTCGATTTCAAGGCTACCATTGAACCTTCCAAATGTAGAGAGAGAAAGAAGCAAACAAAGAGGGGATGAAAACCTAGAGAGAGAGGCAGACAAAGAAGAAATGTGAGAGAAAAAATTAAGATTATAAGTGGTAGCTAATCACCATTAGATTTAATTTTAATATAATGGTGATTAGATTGGTTGTAAGGGTGATAAATTTAGCCGGTGGTAAGTATAACCCTTTATTCCATTGTAAATCTTATTTATATTTCTTTGTAAATCGAGTGACTTGTAATGAAGGCGATGATAAATTGCTATGTGAATTTTTCTTCCCTTTCTCTTTTCTATTGTCTCGATTTGTGCGATTCTGTAACACCTGGCCGCTTCAAAAATCAATGACTATCTACAAATACTAACACGAGACTTTTCAGTGTGCCTTTTCCTCACTCGCACACTTTCTGGGAAAACTTCCGAGTAGGTCACCCATCCCAGAATTACTGCAAGTCAAGCACGCTAAACTATGGAGTTTCTTCGTTTCGGGCTACTGAAAAGTAGATGTATCTTGTTAGTGTAGGCAGTACCAATTAATTCTTATAAGCTATCCCAAACTGTGCAGTCTCATACCTGCACAGTCTTTGAAATCCCTCTCTTTCGGATGTCAATTCGATTCATTCTTGTAATCCCCCGTTGGAGGCCTGTCAGGAGCCATTCCTTGTCCATGCCCTTTCGCACCGGCGATCACTCTTTGTCTTCATCAGCGCCCGGGATGTTACATGTAAGAACTCGCACCGTTAATTAAGGAAGTTAACTAATTAACTGTGAAATTAGGAAATAATTCCATAATTGACCCTAATAATTATTATGAGGCTTAAAAAATTATAGAGAGTGGTTAATAATGCTGAAAGTCGCTTTTCGGACGAAAAGTGCAGATACCGGTTCTGCTATTTGGTATAAATGCATACCGAAAAAGTATCCCGAAAAATTATAATAAGCGCATGAATATTCCTAGAATATTATATAGGACTAGGATAACAAGTTTCAGGTCAAAATAATGAGAACTGATGCCAGAACTGATACTGGCTATGGAAAAGCACGTACCAGAAAGGTGCTGCGAAAAATAAAATAAAAATATGAGAAATCTTAGAAAAATGAGTAGGTTCAGATTCCAAAGTTTGGGATTAAAATACTAAGCGTAGCTATTAATGCAAATATTGTGCGATTAAAACTTAAGCGGCCTATATAAGGCCATGGCACATGATCCTAGGTCAGACTTGTGCACCTCTACGTGAGTTTTTGCTAAGGCTTATGACCAGCCACCTTGCTACTCCCTTTCTTCTTCATTTTCTCACCAAAGACACCACATTTGATCATTGTTTCTCCTCTTGATCAAGTAAACACTTGGGTGTGAGCATTGGAGAGTGCAAAGGGTGCCTTTTTCTGGGTTGTGAGGGCTGTGTGAGTATTGGGAAGGGGCTGTTTCTGAGTTGCTTGGTGTGGGAGTGCTTGCCTTGGTTGTTGGAGCTCCAAGAAGCAAACTTTGTGAAGAAAGATCCTTGCTTGAGTGCTATTTTCGTGCACCCTTGAAGTCAGTACCTTGGAGCTGACTTGTGAGCTCCAAGAGCACCATTTGTTTCTGTTTTAAGCTTGGGTAAGCCTTACCACCCTCGAACTTGAGTTTTCTTGATTAAAAATGGAACCTTGATGCACGTATGGATTAAATTTGATAACTTAACGTGGGTAATGTTAAACACACCATTAAATGCATGTTTAAGCTTCTGGAATCATGAAATAAGCCACCTTTGGGAAGGATATCTCGCGAAATGCAGAACTGCATTCTGTCGCGAAATATCCGGATATTGATATCCGGATATGGGGTCTGCTGATATCCGAATATGGATATCTGGATATGCCCCCCACAAATATCCGGATATTCTGGGTTTTCGTGAGCAGTGAAGGTACTGTCCATACATAACTGAGTTATGGGTTTGTGGATCCTAAGTTGATGAAGTTGAACTTCTGTAATAACTTAACTAAGTCAGAATCTAAGTGATTAAATGCTTGTGGCTTTGTGAGAAGCCTTAAGATGTAAAACGTAAAGGAGAAGCGTTGTCTTTATGTATAAGCTTATGTGCTATGATTATTGATGATGAATTATTGTACAAACAGATTGTGATTGTGCTATTTGTGGGCCTTGAGCGGTGTGTGGACTCTTGGTTTGGATAGCTAGCTTACAAGGTAAGCTTTCGTGTCCTCGGTTTAGCCACTGTTGGTTCCACCATTTTCCCATGGGGAGTTGGTTGTATG